TGGTCTTCAACCTTCCTAAATGTTCCCACACCACGCCGCTCCTCCGCTCCCTTCACTGGCTTCCAGTAACTGCTAGAATCCACTTCAAGACACTGGTACTTGCGTACATGCTGTGAATGGATCTGGCCCTTCCTACATCCAGGACATGGTTAAACCGTACACCCCAGCACGTGCACTCCGCTCTGCATCAGCCAAACAGCTCGCTGCACCCGCACTGCGAGGGGGACCCAAGTTCCCATCAGCAGAAACACGTGGGTTTGCTATCCTGGCTCCAAAATGGTGGAATGAGCTCCCCATTGAAATCAGGACAGCAGAAAGCTTACACATCTTCTTCAGACTGAAAACTCATCTCTTTGGACTCCACTTCCAGAGATAGAATTACTAACAAAGCACTTATATACTAATAAAGGACTGGCTTATCTAAAGCCAGTTGAGTAGCACTTGAAATGTTTGGCTCTATGAAACCTGATGTACTTATGATTCTGTTTTCTTCAAGGTTGTATCTTGTTGGTCGAACGCACTTATTGTAAGTCCCTTTGGATAAAAGCCTCAGCTAAATGCAATGTAATGTGTATTAGTATTAATACAAAGAGTGATTTATAATAGAGTGATTTATAATAGTTATTTATAATAAAGAGTGATTCCTTAAGTGCGGGTCCTGTTTTTCTGGCCTCAGGCTGGAAAATGACATGCCCCGAAAGAATGAGTATATCTTCATTTCTAAAAGGGTCATATGAATAATCTTTTTTCTCAAAGCAAGGATACATCTGTGAGTTGGCTGTAGAAGTGACAGAATCAATTTAGATGTTGCCGTGTGAGAGTAAACTCAGATGGAACATAGTCAAACAATTACAATTCTCATTTCCGCCGAGAACAAAAAAACATTATTTATAGTGAAACCAGCCTTGAATGATAGGATAGTAGACCAGAACCTGTAGGGATCCAAACCAATATATCACAAGGACCCTGAGTCAGGAAGGATCGATGCTAATTTAAGGCACAGGTAGGTCCAGGCTCACCTTTGGGTACATTTGGTTACCATCAGTGCCATTTGACCTTTCTCAGGTACCACACTGTAAAACTCATTGAAATATCACAATAGGTATTCATTCCATCCAAACACAACTGCTTTTGACCTTTTTGAAAATCCACCCAGACCTCTATACCTTTTCCCATTCAACAAAAACACATACACAGGAAATGAAGTTTGACTCCAACTGAAGCAGATTTATTTTAAACATTTTACCAACATAATACACAAGAAATCTACACTCTGAAATCAAAAGGTAAAAACAATCACTTTTTTTTGTAAAGAACAACACACTGGCAAAACTGTATACACCCTGAATGTTGCAGTGTTTGGTCGTGCCACTCCTTGAAACAGTTCTTTCTAGAAGTGAAGCACAGAGGGACCATGCACTTCCTGCAGTACACAGGTGTCTTCGCCCTCTTGTAGCCAGCATTAGAGCAGTTCTTGCAGTACTTCCTCGACGCAGAGGCATCTTCCCCATAATACATGGGCATGCATGTGAGCGGTGGGGGGGATGGTGCTGCTGCTGCTGCTGCTGCAGGGACTCCAGCAAACTCCAACATCTCTGCAGCCAGCTTCTCCCTGAAGGACTTCTGGGTGTGTGGCTTCGTCGCGGCGGGGTCATTCCTTATCTTGTGCAGCTCCTTGTAGAGAAGGAAGCTGTTCACCACTGCAATTTCCATAAAATGGTAAAAAAAAGTCTTGTACCATTTCATGGTTTTGTGGTGAACGCTGTAGTACCCAATCAAAGCGTCTGACACATCCACGCCGCCCATGCTTCGGTTGTAGTCCAGCACAGCGTCAGGAACAGGAACAGTCTTCGTCTGCCACACACCAGCCTGTTTCACTTTCCGCTGGACAGTCTGTCCGCTGAAGGCCTCGTGCACTGTGGAGCACATGGACACTTCACGGGTGTCCATCCACTTCACGAACAGGATTTTGCCTCTCCTTATCCACCGCAGATCTCCCCTTTCTGCCTTTTTCGGTAGGTCATTCAACTCCGTCCGTGGAAACTCCATTTTATTTTTTCTAATGGTCCCACAACAGCCAATGTTTTTTGTGGACAAATCCTCAAAGAGGGCAGG